AGCAAGATGGGATGAATAAATGTTATGTTCACTCAATATACAGAGTGGCCCAAAATGTTCCATGGGGTTTTAAAATAAACTGAAAAATTAGACGTTGTCGATGATCTGCAGGTTTAAAAATATCCACCCTTTGTGCATATAACTGTAAATCGTTTTTAAATGCACCATGTAGACGTACGGGACATTAGAAGCTTAGCAAAAAGTTTTCTGACAGCAAATGTTCCTGGAGGTAACTGCAACCGTTCAATATTTTCCCCAGCGCATCTTAAATATGGTCATCCCATTTCAGGCAAATCAGTTACATGCCTTAAATAATAAATCTCTAAATAAAAATATATACACTATTCTGGTTCATTTTTAAGTTGTATATTTCTAAATTATTTATTCTCCCACGGAAAAGATATTTTTGAATAATATATTTTGAATAATATATTCTAGGCTCGGTAGTAGTTTTTTAATGGTAAATGTGAAATATATAAAAAATGGAAAAAAGTAGACATTTCGGAAAGGCTCGGGAAAGTTGCATTATGTAAACAAACCCTTTACTTTTTTAAATACAGGGTGAGATGAAACAAGTTAAAAAGCAGTAAGTTCGGCCGGCCCAACCTTGGATACTCTCCACCATTTGGAACGAATTTGGAAATTTTCAAAAAATAAAACCTTTAAAAAAATTTTGTTTAAATATTAAAAATACCGAATATAGCCATTATATTGGGGTCTATACGACGTGGACCTACATAGGCATTGTTTGTCGTAAACCATTACCATATTCAAATTCGAAACTTGAAATAAACGGTGAATAATGTAGCTAAAATCATCAAAATATTGTATATGGAGGTACCTTTAAATCGGAGCTGTCGAAGACCTGGACCAGCATAGACAATTTTCTGTCACAGGCTATAGCATCCATTACGAACGTCAAATACGACATCTCAAACAATTTCGGTGGGTATTGTACCTAAACTCGTCAAAATACCGAATTTAGGAAGGTACTGATATATGGGGCCTACACGAGGACCTGAACCAGTATAGACAATTTTCTGTCAAAGACTGTAGTTCCCATTACGAACTCTAAATACCTAACTTGAAACAATTCCGGTGAATAATGTCGCAAAAATCATCAAAATACCTAGTATCGGGAAGTACCCTTATATGGGGGCTATACGAAGACGTGGACCTGCACAGACAATTTTCTGTCTTAGGCTGTAGTATCCATTACGAACTTCAAATACTAAGTTTGAAACAATTCCGGAAAACAATGTTGCTAAAATCATCAATATACCGAATATAGGGAGGTACCGTTATATGGGGGCCGTATGAGAACGTGGACCTACATGGCCCATTTACGAACTTAACCTGCCTACTGGCAAAATTAACATGTGTGCAAAATTTTAGCGTCCTATCTCAATTTGTTCGTGATTACAACAGACAGACGGACAGACAGACAGACATGGCTAATCGTCTTAGAATTTTACGCTGATCAAGAATATATATACTTTGTTGGGTCTAAGATCATTATTTCGATGAGTTACAAACGGAATGACAAAATGAATATACCCCCCATAGTGTGGTGGAGGGTATGAAAACTGCAACCAACTTCAGACTGCTGTCATTTTTAAGCTACTCGTCCGATAGCTGTTTAAATTGTTCCAGTGACAGCTCATTATATTGTTTACGAGCGTACAAAAGCATTTTGGTGAGAATTTTCCGTGGTACTGGTAGCGTAGCCCGACGTGAAGGAAGTGGACGGAAGAAAACAGCAACATCAGCAGAAATGGTTCGAAAAATAAAGAAGCGACTTGATCGAAATCTGCGAAATGCAGATCCACGTCTTTGTATATTCCCCATATAACGGTTTTCATTTAAGTGGTAGTTTTCGGATTTTTTTTTTTTTGACATTTTTCAAGTTCCTTTCAAATGATAGAGGGTATTAAAGCTGCTTTTTTACATGTTTATTTCTTTATTTATCATTTTGAAAATAAAATCCTTATGAAAACTCAAATGAAAATTTTTATGACAATGTTTTTTTCTTCTTTGATATCCAAAATCGCATTCATAAATTGTCATTATGTCTGCCCACGTTCACATCGGCTTGGATACAATTATTTTCACTTTCGTTTATTTTTTTTCAACCAAACAAAAAGAAAAAGTGTCGTCTCGTTGCTTTATTTATGTTTATCGACAGACAGAAGAGTACATTTTGTTTGTTTTGTTACTTTTTTCTCAAAATTCGTTCAACTTGACCCACTTTTGCTTTTGCCAAATCAGGTACTTTCAAGGTTGCTCGGGCATCTCATGATGCGAAGCAGAGAACAGGTCAAACTATACTCAAACTAGGTGGCTGGAGTGGATTGAATTGAATGCAATTGCTGGTTATGTGGTCCAATATCATTTTGGACATATCAGTGGCCAAAAGATAGGCGTATGAACATGGATGCAGATAAAACAACATTTATGTTTGCCTGCTGCCGACACACATACATAGGTACTTGGCGAAACTACATTATGGGTAGGGATCTTAGCGGCAAAAAAATATATATCAAAATAAAAAAATCAAATCAATTAATATATCATATCACCTCTTAATATGCAGCGTTCAATAAAAGTTCACCTATATTGACTTCAAGAATGCTACCTCCACTGAAAAGAAAATGTCCCATGTTGAACCTTGTGTACATGAGCAGATTGTGAATGTTATAAATGATAAAGCTGACTAAATTCTTTGGCTTGGAAACTTTGCCTTACAAAAAAATAAAGAACAAAAACGAACTTTACAGTCGGTCTTGAAGACAAATGTTTAATCTCAACCAAATACAAACTAAGAAATTTCTCCTCAGAAAATATTACCCTACAATGGACATAATATTAAAAAATTTGTTCATTTGTGTTAGAAGTACGGGAAATAGTGTAGAATAATTTCTAAATCGACATGAGTCCTTCCAAAATCTACCTCTAAGTGAAAAATTTGCACACATTATTTCTTATATTTCTTTTCCGAATCTGTGGTTGATTTGTTTATTAGCTGGAATTAGTTGATATCCTTAAATGACCAAAGCAAGTGCAAACATTTTATATTTCTATGCTGTAAAATTTTACCACCAACTTTTTTTTGCTAATTTGTCCAGTAAAATTGTTAAATACGTCATTTGAACGGTTGCCATTCCCACTGGTAAGAAAATGTATAATTCAGGTCTTCATATAACCCAAATATAATACCTCACGATATTATACAGGGTGAGATGAAAAAAACTGCAACCAACTTTAGACTGCTGCCAATTCTAAGCCACTCGTCCGACAGCTGTTTAAATTATCCCAGTGGCAGCTCATTATATCGTTTACAAGCGTACAAAAGCATTTTGGTGTGGATTTTTCAGAAAAAAAGTTATTCGTGATGGAATTCAAGCGTGATAGTGTGATTTCTTTATATTTGGCTGAAAAACCACAAGTGGGTATCGTCAGAGCACTCCAGCATTTACATGTGAATAAATCTTTTGTGTCACGCACCATGCTAGTTACTGGTACCGTCGCCCAACGTCAAGGAAGTGGACGGAAGAAAACAGCAACATCAGCAGAAATGGTTCGAAAAGTAAAGAAGCGATTTGATCGAAATCCGCTTCGCAGTGGCTTGTGAGCTGAACATATCGCAATATTCCGTTCGGCAAATATTGAAAAATGAGCTCGGGGTAAAGCCATTGAAATTCCAAAAAGTGCAAGAACTTACACCGCAACAGAAAGAAAATAGACTCAAAAGAGTCAAACAGTTGCTTCGCTTGGCCGAAAGTGGTGAACCGCCGAATTTGGGTTTCTCCGATGAGAAAACATTCGTTGTCCACCGACCGTGGCATCAGAATAAATGCCGAATATTATCGCGAAAATATTCTGGAGGGAGTATAAAGCTTTGGGCACGCAAACATTGTGGCCACAGACCTTGGACATTCCAACAGGACGCCCAAGAATGGTTACAGAATGAGGTTCCTCGCTTTATTTACAGCGCACAATGGCCACCAAAATCTCTGGATACCAACCCGTTGAACTATTGTGTCTGAAGTATTTTGAAAAGCAAGGTTGACACTAAAAAATACCAAAGTTTCGATCACCTCAAGCAAGCGCTTCGCCGGGATTGGGCCAAAATACCGCAGTGCAATTATGGCCGTTTGAAGGCCATAATTCGTGCCAAAGATGACCAATTTCGAACAAATCTAAGCTTATTCTAAAATTTGATGCTATTTCCGAGTTTTTTGCTTTTATTCAATAACATTTAAAACATGTAAAAATTATGGCGTTTGGCTTTTTTTATATCACCCTGTATATTTTGTTGATTTTAGCCATTTTAAAGACTTCAGCGTCTATAGACACGTTTTTAGTAGCGTTAATTGTCAACTGGTATATGTTATCTACATTTCCGCCTGGCGAAACATTGTTTTTTTATTTGTTAAGAGTGCCCATTCTCGCGCCCTATCTAGCTTTATTTAAACCAGCACCAGGAAGTAAGTTTAAACCAGCACCAGACCCACAGGATTAGATAGACTCGAAAGTCCCGAAAAGGATTTCTTCCAAAGAGACGCGATCTTATCAAATTGTATAATACACCCTGTAGTCGTAAGGCTAAGTGGATGGGAGTATTTTGTTTACAATTGTTTAGTTGTGAACATATTAGACACTTTGGTAGTGGTTGTGACAATATCAACTATTAAAACTATTTTTTACAGACTACCGCTAATACGTTTTTATTCTATTTTAAACCTTTGAACACACATTAATAGTTTTAAAAATATAAAGTTGACACACGTCGCGTATGTATGCATACGGTGCATGTTAGTTAATGTCGTCCTGTTGATACAAGTCCTGAATAAAAGCTCGTGCTATTTTTAGAAAACCTTCCATGTAATGTTTTCGTGTATACATACAAAATAAAAAAAATGTTCTAGGTATTCTGTTTTTTTGTTCTCACTATTGTGCCACCACTAATTAATAACTTGTTTCACTTGTTCTCATTCCAGGTCGGAACGTTCTATCGTGCGAGTGTCAATTTATCAAAGTAGTAAACCACAACAAATTTGCCCTCCCGATTATTTTTCGAAATTCGAAGATAATTTAGATAATTCTTTAAGTAACTATAATTGTAATTTAGACGACATAATGACGACAGCATCGCCAATTCCCGGTTATGACAGACAGCAGAGGTATGTTTCACAGTTTTGTTTGCCTTTAGAAATTGTGAATTTAATGAGTATTCTTGTATATTTTGTTCACAGTACTGATTCTGGCTGGGATAATCCATTTCGCCCTGGTGGCGATTTATCCAGAGAGGCTGATGAAATTGTTAAAATGATTAGTGGTAAGTATAAATTTAAATTTTTGGTCGCACAGAAAATTTGTTGGTGCTTTCCTAGTTGTTTTTTTTTTTCATTTCGTTTGGTTAACATTGCTTAAATCTTAATACACAAAACTATGAAGATCAAGACCATAGATGGACGTCGGCGAGTCCAATTTAATTCTCGGCAATTCAAGTTGGTTTCGCAGTGTCAATGTAGTATTTTTTTGAACAAATAATTTACTCAATATCTGGTAACAATTAATATCAATGGAATGCAATTTTTGATTCATATTTAACCCAAAAACCCAAAAATGCGTTATTTTTTAAACATCCACTTAAGATCACTAGATTTCTTTTTATTATCTTTGAGACAGGTCTAGGCAATATGTTTCTTTACCAATTGCCAGTATTGTTTTGCAAATTAATATCCGAGCCTTTTCAATCCTTAGTCGTCTCGACCGCACCTTTTTTACATTATGTAATTTACCATTCCCCAAAGATAATTCTATAATTTGATGCCTGCGGAATAAAATACAAACATTTATTAGTTGACACAATACACGACACATCTTTCTATTTTAATATAGACGTCCATGTTACAAACATTTAAGCAAATTTCTTTAAGTTTTCTTAAAGCTTGTTGGCTGATGTCACTATGCGTTGCCTTTACAAGACATGACATTGATTTACAATAGGTTCAAAATACACGTAGAACTGATTAATATAGTTTATGCAGTATCACAGTGGGTCACCTTTACAATAAAAAAGCCTTTGATTTGCTTAATATTTTGCAAAGGTTTAGGGTTTGGTTAGATGACAGAAATAATACGAAAAACAAAACAGCCCTCACAAACACATATGCGTTTATGTATATTGTATCTGTGGTGTCAATTAATAAAAAGAATGTAGACTGGAGTGCCCATTGTTGAAGAGAACTTATTACCTTATACACATTTCTTGATTGGAATTTAATGGGTTTCTACTCATCTTATCCATTAAAAGACAAGCCCATAGTTTTAGCTATTCATTTTACATTGATTAGGAGCCGAACATACAAAAATCATTTGAGAATATTATTGTTATTAGCCTAAAAGCACAATTCTTAGGTTTAAGCTTGTTAAACATATAGAAATAATTGAAACTGAACCCTTATTATTAAGATTATTCTTGCTTTTTTGTAGGATAATCTTAAGAAAATATCTTTATTTTAATTTTAATTAATTAATTGTATTTCTTTGGTCATTTCCATTGTCTTCCCTGATGCAACTCCTTGTGTTACCGTGCCCTTTTTTATTCTTAAATATGTCACTTTATTCGTAAGCTCAATATCAATATCAAATAAATTCTGCATTTTGTTTATGCGTTCAGTCTGAAATTAAATTGAAGTCATACACATCACAAACTGCCCTAATAAATAATTCTTACCAGAAGAATTATATTGGAAATATGTCCTAATTCGCCTCACATTGGCTTTGGAGTGGAATATTTATCCTCCGTCCAACATTATGGTATATGATTTGTATGTAACAATCGGAAGAAACCACTCGAAACTCATGGCGATTTTTAATTACTCAAGTCCGCTTTCTGAATCCTTGCATCGTCGCCAATGGAAATTGGCATATTAGATTTTCCATAGACTAAATTTGTCTACAAATAAACAAATAGTAATCTTAATTATTAATGCACAGTGTGCAACATAAATTGTACAAATTAAAAGCTATAGTGTTCATAATCCTTCCGCGGGCCCAACATTATCCAAATCTTGCACCAATACAACAAAATGTACCTAAGTAGTTAGTATTTTGGACATAAATCGTTAAATTGCTGTGATTTAAAGAACTAAAAAATAGGAGTATTCGATTAGTCAAAGACAGATTTTTATGCCCTTCGCCATAATATGGAGGGTATATTGACTTTGTAATTCCGTTTTTAACTCCTCGAAATAGTCATCATTGACCTTAAAAAGTTTATATACAGTGGTGGCCATGAGGTTAGCACACTAGATACTTGCTATTTTTAAACGCAAATATTTGTATATATCTTAAATTTTTTATGATATATTTTATATGTGTGTTACTTGTCCTTCTAAGATCACGTCCCATCATGTCCAGCATTATCCCTTTATATATATTTTGCGTTTTTCTATCCAGAATAGCATAACCTCAAAAAAACACTGGACATTATTTTAGCACAAAACAAAAAAGTTTATTCATATTAAAAATGTATCAAAACAAAAACACTTATTTTACTAAAAACTTAGTACTTAGTTGAATATCCTTTATTTTTGATCACAGCTGCTAGTCTCCTTGACATACTCTCTACAAGGGCCATACAGCGATCCACTGAAATACCATTCCAAGCCTTTTCTACTTCCTTCCATAAATCGGCCAAATTTTTAGGTTTTTCCCTCACTACATGCTGCTCCACATCATTCCAAAGGTTCTCAATAGGATTGAGATCCGGAGATTGTGCTGGCCATTTTAACACGTCGATATTGTTCGATTCCAAGCAACACCTCACTAAGCGTGAGGTGTGTTTTGGATCATTATCTTGCATAAATCGCCACCTAAGTGGCATGTTGTCATTGTAGTTAGAAGTAAATTCTGGTATACATACTGGTCCATACGAGTATCAATTTTTTTTATAGGACCAACACCATACCCAGAAAATGCTGCCCACACCATCACATTACCCCCACCGTGTTTTATTGTTTTACTTGTGTACTTTGGATTATGTTGCATATTCGGAGGACGCCATACATACCTTTTACCATCCGATCCGAATTTACAAAATTTAGATTCATCACTCCAAAGTACATTTTTCCAAAAAATTAACGGTTTTTTCAAATGCTCACGAGCAAAGGACAACCGAGCTTGTATGTTCTTCTTTGAAACATGTGGCTTATGCTGAGATATGCATCCACGTAAATTTTTTTCATTAAGTCTTCGTCTTATCGTTCTGCTGGACACGTTGATACCATATTTTCCTGAAATTTCTCTCTGGATTACGGTGGAACTCTTAAAAGGATCTTCGACAGACGCTCTGTATATTATAGAGTCCTCTTTACGTGAAGTTTTTCTGGGCCGAGGAGCCTGTCTAACATTTTGAGATGTTTTATACTTCTGAATATGTCTTAGTGCATTATAAACCGTCTTTCTGGAACACTCCAAAGTATTAGCAATCTCACTTATACTTGTTCCTCTCGAGTTCATTTGTTGAATTATCTTTCGTTGTTCCTCTGTACACCACTTTTTTTTAGCCATATCTAAATAATGTTCATTAAGTCAGTTTGTCTTCCTCATTGATTAAATATTACCTAAACTAACCAATTAATATTTATACCTTCAAAAAAATGTAATTATACTTATATGTGCTAAAATTGTGTCCAGCTTAATTTACACATTACTGCAATAAATTGTAAATTTGAAAGAGAATAGCGATAGAATGCAAAAAAAAGTAACGGGACTTACTGATCACACCATAAACAACACTAATTACCAAAAACTTTAGTTTATAATAGCAATGAAGTGATATAATTTGCTTTAGAAAACAGAAAGTATGAAGTGTGCTAACCTCATGGCCACCACTGTATATCAGCATCAGTCTGTCTGCTGTAATCAAGATACCTTTTTAACCGATTTTAGATAGGAGGTTAAAATCAATTCTGTCAGTAAAGGGAACATATCGGTCCATGTTTTCGTATAACTTTCAACGTAACGGTGTCTCCTGATATTACACCTTCGAAAGGATTCGTTTCAAATTCGGCATTTATAGTTCGTAATGGGTCCTATCTCCGCCTGCTTAAACATTGTGTACATATGACCACTTTTTCCTGCAGTTCCAGGTTTTTTTTTTAATTTGGTATCTGAAACAATATATAGAAAGACGAGCAGAAAATTGACTGTGGATTCTCTATACACAAAAATAGGCTTCATATTAACGTTCTGTTCAGTGGATCGGGTCCGAATATTTCGAATATACCTCTTTACCTCTTGTTGAAGCGACCGACTAAACGTAACGTTTTCTTACTTCTTACTTGTACATTCGTCTTTAATTCGTGAACATATTTCTTTGTATTATAAGATGCATTGATACAGATTAAAGAACGAAACTAATCTGTAAAATTTTACAATAATCCGGGATTTATAGTTTTCGAATACACGACAATAAAAATAGAAGTCCACAATTCAGAAGTAAAATATTTCTCTAAAATCCAACATTAAACGTACACATAATTCAAGCGTTAAAGCTTGGCTGGTTAAGAGTTTAAACCGATTAAAAAAAAAAACAAACAGTTTAGCCGATCTAAGACCTCTCATTAATATGACATTCGTAATTTTATCAGTATTAGATATAATTGTCAATTATTTTTTGAGACATGTACATTTTAGATTAGATAATGAGCTTTTTTACTTAGAAGAATATATAGAACGAGTAATGAAATTTAAGTGGGTTTTGTCGTAAAATTTGCATTTCCAACTATTTTATATTTTTGTACAAAATTGGTCAAAAAACGTGTGCACCCTTTGTCTTACTTACAACACATACATTGTTTATTTGCAGGAGGTAAACCTATAACACCCACAGAAGATCATGCGATAGGTAATGGCAAGTCACAGAGTAATGGTACTAGCAATGGAACAGTAGTTACCGAAGATATAACAAAATCCAATGTAAGTATCAGTGGTCAATATCATTTTGTAAATAGAAAAACCAAATAACTAATGTTTACACTATCCATTCTCGATTATAGGTATCGCAAAATCAGTCCGCACAAAATGGTACAAATGGTTCTCATAGGGTGCAGCCAGCTGCAACAACAGCAACTGGAGGGGGAGCAGCAAAGCCATCGGAAAATAATGGCGTTACATCTCTAGCTCAAGTCTCAAAGCAAGTGGTACCTGGACCTACGTCGGCTAGTCATGTTGTCATAGATGAAAAGAAAAACAAGAAAAAGGGCTGTTGTATTATCCAATGAACCAATGCAACACTTCGCAGACAAAACTTTACAATGCTGTTGATAGTGATGGGGATGAAAAAGCGACCGGATGATATGCATGAGTTTGACATCGTTGAAGTCGACAAAGATGCATCTCTTAGCATGCCTATTTGTTTATGTATAGAAAACAAAACTTTATTATATTATATTCCTAATATATTTTTTACTAAGCATATTTATTATTTATATATTATATATACTATATTTTGCGAGAACGTCAACGGCGATAGCCAATTCAATGAGAATGACAACAATGTGTAACCGATGTAGTAGTGTAAAGAAACAAAACAGCCAATCAATCAGTAACATCAGCAAACTAGTACGGAGTCATGCTGAAACCCAAGTCGATTTGAACCGATGCTGAATTATATACACATAAGCTAATGATGACAGACCGACAGACGGACAGACAGATACGTACGTTCCAGACATGCATCAATGTGCGTATTAACGAGCAAGTGCTTTGTACGAATCGATTAAAATGAATGTTTTCAATGATATTTTTTGTTAGCCACCCCCTTTGCAAATTTCCAAAACAATGACTTTATCACTCCTGTTGTGTAATTTTTTTATATATAGACAACTTAAAATAGGAATGGATCGGTCTCTATGTACACACATACGAAATAACACTGTGTTAGTAGTTTTTTTTTCTATTGTTTTATAAATATATACTCGTATTTATATTAAAATATTTTTAAAGAATACTTTCCTTTATTTCACGTCTCGTCTTTCAACTGTTTGTTCGTTCATTCCTCTGGACGTCCATAAAAAACAGCAGTAGCAAAATATTCAAGAAAAATCGCATTTAAAAGCCAACAGTAACAGACAGTAACAAAGGCCTGCACTCAAAATACGTATGAGTATATGTGCTTCTAACACTTATAAGCAACCCGAAATCGGATATATCCGCCAACACAACATGATTGCATGTACTTGACTAAGCGCATAGAGGCAAGCAGGATATTAACTCCTTGAGTCAGTGATCATTTCCACACCCAAAACAAGCCACCAACAATCAAAATATCGACAGCAAACATACAAAAAATCGGCTGTATATGAATATAAGTATGTATGCAAAAAGAACATACATGTTAGTAGAAACATAATGTATTGCGTAGAAGCAATACATCGAGTGCGTATATTCATATTCGAAATATTGCATATTAAACAACAAAACATATAGTACATTTATATAACCACCATTACCACAGCCACCATCACCACTATCACCATCACCATCTGCCCAGCATGTGGCACAGGCCCACATGACACGCTGCATTTATTTCGCTGCCCAGCCAAGCCTACTCACCTAACTCCAGTCTCGTTATGGACTCAACCCATACAGGTTGCATCCTTTTTGAGACTGGACTTAGAGGCAGAACCGGATTGAATTGAGTTAGAAAATGGAAACCAAACGAACACATATGTATGAGCTGCTACAACAACAACAACAACTATCACCACCCAACCATACATATTTATACACAAACTGTATGTATGTTTATGACGAGCACAAGCAGACAAGCCAGCAAAAAAGCTACAGCATATTATAAACCAAGAGAAATGTAACAAAACAAAAAATCCAATATTTAATATTGTAAATTTCAAAATTTATGTTAAGTTATGTATGAAAAATCTTGAATAATAAAAAGAAAACAGAACTCATAAAACTACTAGATAAAACACAAATCACATTACACATGTTTAGTTATTCTATGCGACGCGATGTTCAGGGTTTACAATTTTTAAAGTTTCCGCATCGTTGGAAAGGAAGATGAATCGCTGTAAATTGGATTTTCAACTCCGCAATATCATAATCATGGTACAATGAAGAGAAGGTAGGCCAACTTTGAAAAAATTGCAAGTATAGAGGTCTACCTGTTTGGCTTGTACTGTCAGAATCAGTATCAAAACAATAAAAAATCAAACAACTTGTAGCATTTATTTTGAATAAATAATTGGAAAACGCGACAACTGAATGAAAGGTCGACACTTCTTTTCAAAATCATGTACTATATATCTCTAAAGGATTATTTCGCTAAAAAAAACTCTAGATTTTGTCGATGCATACGTTGAAATAAACATTTTGAAAACACCCGAATTTGAATATTTTCTGAACAATTTTTTTGTTATTGAAAAGAAAACACATACATAAACAAATAAAGATGACAGATGGATGGATATGGTATCATAGCCCTACCTTGATATCATTGTACCATGAGCATAATGGTGATTTAGGAAGTCCGGGGCCCTTACGAAATCCCTTAACTTATGCATATCATATCAATATGATTACGAGTACTGGAATCATGTTTTCGTATTACAATACGAAAATGAATGCGAATGAAAAACGCAATTTCAAATGAGTTTTTATATTTTTGGTGTTGTTTAAATTACGTGAAAAAATTGAAAAATTCGAATGATGATTTTCTTTTACTTTAGGCATTCAAAAATAGTTCCTGAATATTCCAAGCAAAGGATAAAAAATATTTCAAACCAGTTCGCAAATATTTGCACACAATTTACCTACATGAGTATGTATCTTTTTCCATAGAAAAAATGAACATGGTGAAAAAATCTATCTATAATGACGACCATGTAACGGCGATAAAAATATCGGGTGTTTTCAAATTATTCATTTCAAACCAGATCACTTCCAAATAATCTATTGAGTTTGAGGCAGCATTAAACAATTACAATTTATCTTTAATTGGTCGGTTCTTTGCCTGATTTTGATTTTCGATAAAAAGGTTCGTGTAGCAACCGTTTCCAGAATTCACTTCTGTGGAGTTCCATCAATCTACGAGTGAGCCTCTGCCTGTCATTGTTTTTTACATCTATGACGCGTTGCTAAATTTATTTTATTTTATTTGTGTATTTTTCTAATACACATTGAAAGAGAGGATCAAATATTGAAGTAGTAGCATCTGTACTAATAGTTATTAAGAGCTTTGGGATTGTTAGGGCAAATAAGTATGGGCAAGGGGCTCATGAGGTACAAATCAGAATTTGTTCACAAGACAATGTAAATAACACAATATTACTGTGTACAATAACTCAATAATTGTTTATAGTTTGAACAAATTATTACAAAACGTTTCTCGATACCAAAGTGAGAGTGAATTGGCAATGCAATTTACATTACTAAGTTAAACGAAGTTCAAAAATCCTTTTTCGCTCTCAACATTGTGTGTGGAGAATCAAGTGATTCGTTCATAGTTAAGTGTCGAACGAGGAATAGAGAACGAATCATGTACCATGTGAACTTCATATTACTGAGAGTTTAAAAATTCTTACTGAGAAAATTGACTCAGTAAAAAATTATAGAGTTGTTAAACAGACTTATTATGTTACGCGGTTTCTGAAAGAAAAATGCAGTAAAAATATTTAAAATGCGTATTAAATATTTTAATTTTGCTATCATATTATGATTTTATTAATTACCAGGGGACAAATTATCGCATTCGATATTGAAAACACTTCGGTCGAAATGTAATTGAATATGTACAAATTAACTCGATTTAATTAAAAAATTCGCCAGAAAGGAAATGTGAAATTGGACCTGGGCTTTTTGTGATTACAAATAAAATTCAAGTCTGAGCCATATTTGGCGTATACGATAGTCCATAATTTGTACAAGATTTTGTTTGTAAACCGCGCTATTGCTCTGAGTTTTTAAATTCTTATTGGGAATTGTTTTCAGTAAAAGCTTGACACGTTGGTCAGCTGTTTTAAAACGAAGTGAACAATTTTAAACGTACAAATATCCTTCTCCATTATACTTTACCAATAAACATGTTTAACAAGTCACTGGGTAGTTTTTACTTGGAAAGTTATCGTAATATGTTGGTTGTTTAATGACGTTTACAATATTTTATGACATTTAAAATAGTTAACTAAAAGTTTTTTTTTTTTTTTGCATGGACGCTAAACATACACATTATCCTTTTGTTAAAATTCTTGAATGGAATTTTGCACATACAACCAAATTAGGCCTGAAAATAAGTATGCCAAATTTGATTGAAATCGGTTCAGATATAGCTATAGCTCCCATATATATTGTTCATCCGATTTCAACTAATCGATCTGATGAGTTCATAATGAGTAAAAAATAATGTAATCATAAAATTGCGAAGATTTGTCTACGTTCAGGCATATTCTCCATGTTACGGTGACCTCCGATTTAAAGAAATTTTAAGATTTTAGGTACATTTTTAATTGAAATGCACTGAAATTTGACATCTGGTGTTCTTAATGGATACCTGATGTCTATACAAAATAATGTTAATATGGGTCCACAGCTCCCGTTTAATATAGCCCCCGTAGAACCCTGCCCTCGATTTTTCTTCTTTGAAGGGGTTTGTTTTCAATCCATTTTGCTGAAATTTAACATTCTTGTTTGGGATAGGGTAACAACTTAATGTGCCAAAAATATAATATTGTCAACATTGAATGTGTTTTTGGTATAACCCCCATACTCCCGATTTAACGGATTTTTAAGATTCTGGCAAATATTTTCAACAGATTTTGATGTAATTTTACCTTTTGGATTCTGAATACATTATATACCTCCCATCATAAAAATTGTCAGAAATTGTCTTTGGTATACCTCCCATATAAAGGTGAAATTTTGAAACACTAGTAGGATCAACAGACGCCGATATATCCAGCTGAAACCTTTTTTCGTAATCTAAACACTTTTTAGTATTATTTAAAAACGTTTCAGAGTACCTAGGAATATCCTGGGTAATATAACTTAACGTCTTTTAACAGTATACTGCGAAAACGGGGGAACTCTAAGAGATTATTTCTACTGCAGTCAGAAGTGAAAAAAGGAATATGTGTTTAAGTATAAAATATCGATAGAACTATTAACCATAACATTTAAACTATTAATGGTAGACAAAACTCTAAAATTTAGTGTAATTTAAAACAATTCAACATTCTCTGCGTGGGTTGCCAAATGCGTTTAAATGCTGGTACGCACGATAACTCTCGAAGGAAGTATCCGATTTGATCCAAACTTGGTACATCGTAATATTATTTTCAAATTTAGATCGGGTTCGGAGATGGGATAAAGATAATCCGTTTTCGCTCCAACTTTGCGAATCCTAATATCAGTGCTGAGTCATTGGCGAAAATGGACAATATCGGTCCACGCCATCAAATACCTCCCACAAAGCGTCAAAATTTTGGATAATTATAACTCTTATAAAATGTGATGTAAGTGTCCGATTGTCTACAAATTATGCACATCACAATATTTTTATTAACCCAAGTCTGGTGTGAAGATGAAAGTCGGTAATTCTATACAACTTGCTATTTCTAAATATTTCTCTTAACCAGAAATCTGATATGAATATGTAATTTATGATTTTGCATAAAATTGGATATAAATGCTCTTCCTTCAAATATTGCACATAATAATATTTTCATCTGTATTAGAAAAAGTATGAATATGGATGACTCAGGACCGGAGTCATCAACTTGCTATTTCTAAATATTTCTCTTAACCAGAAATCTGATATGAATATGTAATTTATGATTTTGCATAAAATTGGATATAAATCTGTATTAGAAAAAGTATGAATATGGATGACTCCGGTCCTGTATATTTGTTACCTCACGCATATTTCCACATTTTCCAAAAATTTGCACATATCTTATGTAAAGTATAGGAAGTAGTCGATATAGTCCAAATCTGGCACGTTGTAATATTTTTATCAGTCTTAGGTCAGATACGAATTGGTCAATATTGGCCAACTGCTTCATAACCTCCTCCATAAAGCGTGAAAAGTTAGAATAATCATAACTCAAGGCTGGGGTATAAATCTGTCGGCAAAACCGACTGATACTATTTTACTTATTACTTTTTTCAGATAAATTGTTAGAGGTACTACGACAAATTGCAGATCTATGGATGGTCATTGCTACTAAAATCAGACACAAGGAGATGAGGAAGTGAAGAAATGCTTTCCACGGATGTCTTTCGTTTCTAACATTCATATGCTGGCGTACACAACAACAAATAATTAAAATATAATTAAATATATAATTTTTTTAAAAATCAAGTAAGCATAACAAAACTTATTAAACGGGATTAAAGCAAGCAATGCATTTTGCTGTCATTTTTACCCAAAACTCCTCTTTAACAAACCCTTGTAAAATTTACTTTTAAAGAATTAAATGAAAAGCAATAAAATTGGAAATAAGAAATATGAGTAAAATGTGTATTTTTTGTGTGCTAATCAAGAAAAAATATCGGTTTTCCGAACAACGAGGAAGAAAAGGTTGTGTGGTGCAAAATTTTAAATATTGATGTTAAATCGATTCGGTTCGACTCCCGTCTATGTCAAAGACATTTCGACGAGTTATGCATTGGTCCAAAAAAAAAATAACCAAATATGCAAGACCTAGTAAGCAAGGTACAATGATATCAAGGTAGGGCTATGATACCATATGATTTTAATTTTTTTATTTTCTTGGCTTAATATGTCAACTTTTTTTTTGTTTATGTATGTGTTTTCTTTTCAATAACAAAAAGTTTGTTCAGAAAATATTCAAATTCGTGTGTTTTCAAAATGTTTATTTCAACGTATGCATCGACAAAATCTAGAGTTTTTGTAGCGAAATATCCGTTTAGAGATATATAGTACATGATTTTGAAAAGAAGTGTTGACTTTCCATTC